GCTAAAGAATGTAAAAGGTAGAAGAAGCAAACTAGGAAATAAACAACATGTATGCTCTTCTGTTTACTAGGTTCCTCAGGTAATGGTAAGGCTGGGCGATATGGCCTAAAATTAATATGACGATATATTGAGGACTTCACCTCGATAACAATAAATGGACAATAACTACAGGAATTCTTAGAAACAAATGTTGTTCACTAGATGGAGCTGTCACATGCATTAAGTTGAGTCACATTTTTACATGACTCAAGGTGATGCCGCTTCTTAAAGGGATATGAACGTTGTCAACCTGCAAACATCTTTTAGTTTTTTATTTGTCAAATTTATTGACATGGGAAAATTATCTCGTTAGGAGTCAGAAATTTCGATAACGATAAATTTTCGATTTATTGTCCAGCCCTAGGTAATGGCGTATTTTTTGTAAGTTAAGCAACTAGAAATCTGCGTGTGTCTTTTATTTTGAAAGTTGCCAGATGTTGTACACTGCTCTTGTGTTTGACTTCCTGTCTGTTCTGATTTGAACTGCTGAGCTTAAAATGTTCTAGAAGCGTATGCACATGAAAATAGATTCAAAGTGTAAGTTTAGAGGAGAGATGTGACACTATGCTTCTGGGACACGTCCAAAACGCGTCACGAAACGAAACCACCAACTATCACAACGGCCATTAGCTGTGGAAAACCAGGGTAAGTCAAACAGGTTGTGATCGAAATATTATTTATTTATTTATTTATTTAACGTGTTTTTGGAGGATAAAACCACTTGAGATGAGACATCTCGTTTTCGAGGGGGTCCTCCTTTAGTACAACAGAGAAAATTAGGACAGCAAGTGACTCACAACAAATACCCTTTTGCACAAATACATAAAAGAAGTAGAAAATAACGATAATCCAAAATAAATTTATTTAAAATGATTACTAAAAATAAACAAACAAAACCACAAACAAAAACAATAACATAACATTCTTCATATACATTCTCACTCCCACAATGCTCTCTGATTCCATTGTAAAGTAATTCAGGTTGTGTTTCTTTCTAACCACTGGTAAATTAGGTGCAGCACATTATCAATTAAAAACAATTACAATTAGGTAAAATGTGTAAATAAACAGAGTCCTTAAATAAACAAAAAGATGTAATAGATCTTATCTCAACAGGGAGCTTATTCCAGTCCTATGGAGCTTTAACTCTATAAGCAGTCTCCCAACTTCCTTCTTAAATGGAGGAACAACAAAAGAGATCTGAGTCGTTGCTTTAAGGAAAGACTCAGATCTAAAGGAAGCCAGTTGAAACTTTCAAACATAGTACAGTGGTGAGTGTTCAAAGGACAACGCAGCACAAAACGACAAATACTGCTGTAAACATCTAGTGGATGGAGACAAGATGCAGTGGTACTTTGGTAAATTATATCTGCGTAATCGAGGCTTGGAAACAATAGTTGAGTCGCAATATGATTTCTCACTCTAAAATCAAATATTAAAATTTATTCCAATCAGTTTTCAATTTTTTATTCTTTGGGTTCTTAAAGAGCAAGTCACCCCCAAATAAACTTTTTTTGCTGATAAACTAAATAAACGAGTGTCTAATCGTGCTGCAGACACGTGTCGTCAATAATTTGGCACTTCAGTGCATCTTAGTTCAAATTTAAATCTTCTGCCTAAAACTGGCAGTGTTGTGTCGTTGTCAGGTAAAAACTCTGCACTGTATTTTAATTTAAATCTGCCACCGCTATTAGCTAAGAAGTATGCTATGATGTAAACTGGTACATTATGATGTCACAATGCTGTCGTGAGCCTGTGTGTGTGTGTATTTGTTAGCAGCTCCGCCCTCTCGGTCTGCCAGGCAACAGCATTTGTTGCATTTTTCAAACATGACATGGGAGTGGAGTTAGACTCTGGTAGGGGTTGACTTGCTCTTTAAGGGCTACATTCATAAATATGCCACTTTGAATTCTCAAAAGAATAAAAGGCTTTTTTTTTCTCGTTTGAAACACCTGAGTAAGACAAGAAAGTATTCAGAAAACAAAAAGAGAAAAATGGATTTTAGGCAAAGACTAAAACAGATTTCATAGGTCTTATGTGTGTTTTTATGACTTCACTACAGCGCCACATGAAGGCCTGGCATAGCTACTGCAGGGTTTGGCTGTTATTTTGTTTTTGATGTTTCCATGAGGTTGTAAACATTTTTAGAAATAGTGTTTAAATGTTTTTATAAGCAGCAAATAGAAAGATCATTTTGTGAAATTATTAAAGGCCTCAGCAGCCCAACAGGGACCTGGTTCATGATCTCGTTACCAATCAATTATCTCTAAATCAACCCTATTATTTTCCTGTGATGATTAATGCTAGCCAGGCTGCCCAGGTGGCCTGACATTCCCATTCAGGCATTTATCTTCTTTCTACGTTCGCCCCGATTCTTTATCAAAACCCCGCAAAAGACAAGAAAGAGGATCTTCTCCCCTCTTTTAACAAACCCACTGTTATTCACCACGACCTTCTTCTTGGCTCTCAAAGGTCAGGTCAGGTTATCCTCAGAAAGCGAATGCTTTTCATTTTAATTGGCCTTTGTCTCCTTTTCACAGAACTGTCAGCCAGGAATGTGCTTTAATGTATAAGAAACTCAAACACTGCACCAAGATATATCAGTGCATTCTATGTGCAACAAGCCAGACAGATAACAACACTTTAAATCTCTTGCATTAGGATGGAATTTATCTTAAACCCGCAGACACATCTGGAATGCACCTGCAGAACCTCCAGACACAACGTGGACACACACACAAACACACACGGCAAAATCCAGTTGTGACGGCTGCAGCTCAGCATTCAGGTGGGATAATGACACTGTGGCATCATCTGCTCTGCTGAACAACGCGAACAGGCGTGTGGAGATCATGTGATGAACATGTAATGGCATCAAGCCAGCCAGCTTTTCTTACTTTTTTCCACAACGCTTGTTATATTATTCATAAGGAGGATGAGTTTTCCAGGATGCCAAGCTGGCTGGAGTCCCAAACCAGCTCCATTCATTGACTCACTCCAGCTCACACACACACACACACACACACACACACACACACACACACACACACACACACTGATCCCGTTTCCAGCCCAGGAAACGACCACTACTGCACACTCACTGACGACACCCCCAGACCTAAAAGGCCTTTAGCCGTAAGTGCCTAATGGCACTTGCCATAAAAACGGGCAGCAGAACGAAACTCCAAATCGATGCAGCGACTCTCTGCGTTCTTCCACAGCAGTGATAAAAGCCTGGGTTCAATAGCTCATGTCACTACGTTTTAGGGCCCAACACGGACTCTGGTTTCTGCCTTTTAATATTTCATTAGTCTCCTCCGCTAACTCTCACCAATCTGTCAATATCCAGACTGAAAACCAGAAGACGGTGGCAGAGCCTGGCGTCAATCACTTTTACAGTCTAGGTCAAGATACTCCAATGAATGCTGAGTTCAGTGAGAGTTCTGCTCATTCAGAAACTGAGATGTTGTTTTCATGAGTAAATTTTACACAGACAAACAGGATTAATGCAATCAATGTTTTTAAGAACAAGAAAATTCTACTTCTTCTTTTAGACTTTTACAAAAAGCTTCATAGATTTGGTTTTTCCAACTATGATTTCTCACTTATTCTGCAAAGATAAATGCTTTGGATTACTGTTTTGTTCTAAATGTCTTGTTTTCTACACATTTTAGTTGAAACAGTGTTTCTAGAATGAAACCATTCTTCTCTGTTTGAACACCTTAGGTGTGTTCTTGCCGTGTCGTATCTCTAATTCCATGCTGTAGTTCTTTTTTAAAAAGAGGTAAACAAAACTGCTCTGTGTTTTAAAAAAGAACTACAGCATGGAATTCTTCTCTGTATTGGTGATTTGCTTCCTCTGCAGCTGAGTACACGCTTCATCGGTCCAGCTTATCTGGGACAAAAATTTTCTTTTAAACTTCATCAAGACTTTATTTCCTTTGGGATTAAGTTTGGGATCCTTCTAAAATATTTAACTATGTTATTGTTGTTATTATATTCATCCATGTTATTTAACTAATCAAGTTCAGTCAACCAGTTACTGTTCCAATAATTCTATTTAAAATGTGATAAACTTGATTTTCCTCTTTAACTCATTCACTGCCAATGATGACTAAAGTCGTCATTTGCATTTTTTTACTGTTTGAGCATCGAAACGAGCCCCCGCGCTGAGAGAACAAACATCTCAGCCCTGAAGCCGATCTTCATCCGCATACGTCACAGATCACATGATCAGGAAGCAACACATCCATGTGTTTGGAGATCGTTTTGGGCCGTTCCTGAAAAAAAAAGTGAGGCGCGAACCGGAAAAGCGTCTGCCGATCACAATTCGACAACAGATTATGAAAGAACGGATAACGCTCGAAACACATGGATTCTTCCTGATGTAAGAGGTGAGTCTCCGCTTTGTTTTGGTTGTTTTGGCATCGACATCATGCTAGCTCGCAACGTTCTGTGACTCTTAAAGGAGACATAACATGAAAAACCCACTTTTTTATCCGTTAACACAGTGTGTTTCACATTTTAAGTGTCTAAGTGAGCAAAAAGGCTTATATTATTCACTGGAGTTGCTATTTAGATATTTAATAATTAAGTTTTGGGCATATTTGTCCACCCGTTCAGTTTTTCAAATTATCTATTACATCAGTAATTTATTTCGTCAGGATAACTACCAAATATGGTAATGGCCCTCGGCTAAACACAGAGCCAATCCGCCATTTTTTCATCTCGCTAAGATTTTTTGTAGTCCTATTGGAAAAATGCAGAATGTCTGGTTATTTTAGCCACACACAGCTCAAAACTGTTCCTCGTTTTAAGGAAGGGTGGTGTGGCAGTATTTAAACCCAGGAGCTGATGACACTACTGCTAAAAAAAAACAGAAGAAAAAGTAGTGTGTGTGTGTGTGTGTGTGTGTGTGTGTTTGTGTGTGTGTGTGTGTGTGCGTGCGTGCGTGCGTGCGTGCGTGCGTGCGCGCGTGGTTCGTTCGTGTCTCCTGGCTAGTAAGTACTGAGGGCTTCATCTATCTAAAAGGAGTCATTTCCATCTGAATGTGACAGCACCGGGACACAGCAGCAGAGCGTTAAGCTTCATATCACTCTAAAATGTCGACAAACTTTACTTTAGATTACGGGCATTAGCAGCACTAAAGCGTTAGCATCCGGCTTGCTATCGCTAGCACAGTATGCTAGTAAAGTTAGCACCCAGATTAATGTGGATTTGGCTGATTTTCGTGGAATAAAACGTGATTTCTGATCAACGCCTTCTTTTACACCAGATGTACATCCACTGATTGTAGCAGCAGAGAGCCTGTGTGTTATTTTACGTGAATGTGATGTAATCTTAGCATCCAGTAAATAAAGTCCCAGTAAATAAAGTCCCATATCAGCTAAAATGCAGCGTGACAAAGTCATTAAAGTGTGTCAACACAGTGGATTTAATAGAGTTTTAAAGAACAATCTCTGAGTGAAGTGAGGTTAGTTTTTTGTCTCACTGCAGATATAAAAACGAACTCTGCATCAGTCAGACGCAGCAAAGCTCACCGTCTGTATGAGCGTGAGCATCGGAAAGCTGATCAAATCAGCTGTAAAATAATTAAAACAAAGTAAAAATGTTCCTTTGCTTTTTACAGTCCACATCCAGAAGACTGGAGCCGTGTTTCACTGACAGGCTGTCAGACTAACGCCCTGATGAGCTCAGCTGGGACAAACTGGTCTGATGTTTAGGTAAGTGAAGATCTGCTTCTCCAAGTCCTTGAGATGCTAGTAAAAATAATTTAGCCAGCTTGCTAATGTTACTTTTCTTCTCCTCTAAGGAACACAGAACGCTCAGATGATGGAGCTCACGTCACCTACTGAGGAAGGAGACCCACCAGTAAAGAGACGGTCTGGACCAGACCAAAGTGAGTGATGACACACCTCAGCCACCCTCATCATTAAGAACACCTCACCCCCTGAATCACTCCGTCTGATGACAGCAGAGTGATTTATTTGATGTTTTACTTGTTTAGTCTGTTTAGAAATGATTGAATTACATTATTTTCTGTAATCGACCATCTGATCTGGATGTGTACAGAATAACTTTCCCCAAGTTCAGCAGCAGCTGGCCTACAAAAACAGCTGCAGCATGTAGTAAGTCTGTCTGCACTGCTCTCTAATGAGCTTCCTTTCATAAGGAATCATTTGTATAATTTTAGTGTCACTATTTTATTACATTTGTAAGAATATGAAGTCACTGCAGCAACACAAACGTGACTATAAACATGAAAGCTAAAGAAACAACTTTCCTAAAGCTGCTTGTAAACAAAATATGTCACTAATGTTATTGTCTATCATTGCAGAATATGGCGATGACATCATGGAACTGGTCTTTGGAAAAGTTTTCCCTGAATCAACTCCGTTTCTAGATGAGGTAGAGAAGATCTGCATCTCACCAACCCTCTATTCTCAGTATTCAGACAACGGAGGTCTCCCATTGTTATCCAGGACCAGTTTGAAGCCCACATACTGCCCCTCCCTCATCATCAGGAAACATCAATCCGTATCCTGAGGACAACAGAAGACAGCAGGAGGACAGGAACTCTGAGACCTAGACACCACCAGCACCGAGACACAAAGCACCTGTGTGCACAACGCCTGTTTAACTACTAAAGCCTGTTTAACTACTAAAGCCTGTTTAACTACTAAAACCTGTTTATTATATTGTTCTACTTATTTGCTGTGAGGTTAATACTTAGAAAATTTGTATTTTAATGTAAACAATAAAAAAATCACTGATTGTATGTTTTCTTTTAGATGTAATGGTCCAAACTCCGCCTTGTAGACATTTATTGCATCCTGTAGGTAAATACACAGAACAGGCTCAGGTCCAGGATGACCCAGCATGCTCTTCTTCCATTCTGGCTGTTAGGGATTGTATCAATAACTCAATGCCTACTGATGTTTCCACCTAACGGTATTTATTTAGAATGCAGGTAAGATTTAACTATATTTGTTAGCAAAGCAGACTGATCTTGGGAATTTCACTGCAGCACTGATGTCCACCTCTCTGTAAACATTAGAGAGAATTACCACTTTACAGCAAAACACACATTTAATAAAGATATAGGCTACGCATTGCAGACAATAAAAACAAAGTTCTAAGCATTAGAATTATAATCACATTAAAGAACATTTGGAGGAATGTTCTTTATTTTTGACTAGAATCTCAAATCTTGAAATTAAAATGTAACTGCTTTTTATCCATTTTCAGCCATTAAGACACCCAATATTAAATAAGACTACTTATAAAATTATTTATAATTATATGTATGTATATATATATATAGATAGAGATCTTAATAAAATATATTTTTAATGGTGTTTTAATGAGCTGTATCATTTTTTAAAAATTTTTTATAGAAATAAATAAGCAAGCAGCATTCCTTGTGTGTGTGCGCGTGCGCGTGCCTGCTCGCTTGTCCCGTCGGCCGTGACGGATGTGTGTGTGTGTGTGCGCGCACGTGCCTGCTCACTTGTCCCTCCGTCGGCCGTGACGGGTGTGTGTGTGAGTGACTACAGACAAATGCATGAGAGAGTTAGCAGCCTTGAAACAACTTGATTAACTACTCTCCCCACATGTTTTAAAAATGCTAATATGCTATGCTAAATCTGCTATGCTAAATAATGATTTCTCTATAGAACTACAAAGTCCGGCTGGGGGAGGAGAGTACAGGTCTGCACTAGTGATGTGTCGGTCGCGAACGAACCGGCTCTAAGAGCCGGCTCTTTGAAGTGAACGACGGGAGCCGGCTCGTCATTGGGAGCCGTGCCCTCCCCTCCCCCCTCCCCCCTGCCTTTGTGAAAGCTACAGGCGATTGGTCAACATGTGTAACTGTGTGTCCAGACTGTCCACACACAGAGCAGTAGGGGCGGGGAAGAGGGAGGATCATACTCAGACACACAGCAGAGCACATGCAGGTGGAGGGAGACGAAAGGGAATGAGGAGGAGGAAAAAGGCGAGAGAGAGAAGAGTGCAACGAAGACGGTGAGAAAATGAGCGCCAGCAGTAGGGAAGTGGAGATTTCTTAAAGTGTTAAGTTATTAAATCCATAGAAATGATAAATATTTGATATATTGTTTTTTTTTTACATTAGAAAATTATTGTACAAATAGTTTAGCATTTTTTGGTTATAAATGTACTCTACGCAACAGAAAATCTGAGGAGCCACTTGGGAGCCAAAAGAGCCGGCTCTTTTTGGTGAGCTGAGCCAAAAGAACCGGCTCTCTAAAAAGAGCCGGAATTCCCATCACTAGTCTGCACTATGGAGGGGGGCGGAGTTATAGCTCCTCCTCCAGTTTAAAGACACAGTACCCAAAAACGGCTCGTTCTCAAGACTCTCCTCAGAACAGGGGTAGATGAGGGTCTGTAGAGCAACAATAATGAGGAAATCAGACCAAAGAACTGCAGTTCCACTGTATTTAGACCCCCAACTGAAGGATTTAGATGTAAAAAGGAATAACTTAAAAGCATGTTATGTCTCCTTTAAAAAACAGTAAAAACGGTGAGAAACGCTGGCAGCGAAGGCCGTTAGTGATCAGGAAACGGCTGGCAGTGAATGAGTTAAATGTCACCGTATTACAATCTTTACCGTTCAAAGTCAGTGACAATTACTAAACACTTTTTTACCATCTTTCTCCCAGAATCCAGAACCACGGCGGTCAGGTTAACTGACCACTCCAAACGGTGACTATGATGATGTTCACAGTAAACAGAGAACGTCCCAAAAACAAATATTTTTACTCACGCAACTTTTTCCTGAAAATCAGAGCAGAACTAATCTGAATTTCTCAAATCACTTTATCATGTGGTCCTAAATCAGACTGATGTGTTTTTCTTAAGGGACCTTAGTCTGAAAGGTCACGTGGTATTTCCTCCAGTTTATCAATCACAGAACAGTGACCAACAGGTTTATGCATCTGGCAGACGCTTTTGTCCAAAGCAACTTGCAAATGACATCACCAATCTTCACCAGAGCAGGCGAGACGTGGCACAATCAAATGTACACAACAAACTAGAGAAGCTCTCAACAACGTCTGCAGCTGCTTCTAATGTCATCTCTTCATCTGCCCCTGCAGGCCACGCCAGTGGACTGTTCACTCTGTAGGTGGTCACGTTTAAACCATGATTGTGAACAGTCACTTAAAAAAATTATCTATTTAACATGAAAACTTGCATGAATGTAGCACAGTTGTGAGTTTGTCCACATATATATGGCCTCGTGATGGACTAGAGTCTTCTCCAGGTTGTTTCTCTCTTCTCAACCAATAACTGTTGGAGGTGGGCACCAACCAACACCCCCACCCACAACGCACACGTCTCTCTCTCTCTCCTCTTAGTAGAGAACAGCTGTTGTGTTTGTGAACAGAATATTGATCCCAACACACCCCTCCTTCCTGCCGTACTGTATACAACAGCAGATTTCAGTCAGTCATACACATGTGTGTAAATTCATGTCATCCCTGCAGTATGGAGGCATCTGTGATTAATAGCGTGTCTCAAGCAGAGCAATCAATACAGGTTAACTGGGGAAAATCCCAAGGACAGAATCAGTTTGCTTCCAACAGACTGTCACTCTTAGCTTCTAAAAGGAAAGATTCAGCCTGGCTCGTGAAACTAGAAATTTTTCACTTATGTCAACACTTGTCCACATTTCTATTACTTTTACAGAGCCTTGCCATTTTTCAATTTTAGATAGTTTTTGTTCTGCAGTTGTCTGATTTCTCTCCAAAGGCGCCCAATATGAGATGTGGAGCACAAAGCAACATTTAAAAGATTTAAACAATCATGGTGGTGAAAACACTGTGCATGTCGCTGTGCACGTCGCTGTGCTTTTGTCATTTCCTCAGCAGATATCATCAGCAACCACATCTTCCATCAGCTCCATCTCTTCCCTATTCTTCTCCTTTCACCAGTGAGGCTCTCCAGAGAACCTCGGTGAGACACCATTATCAGTGTGTTGATATTCTGCACAGGTTGGGCTGTCTGGGTCGCCACAATTACCCGGGGGGGAGAACAAAAAGATGAGGAAAATAAATAAAAAGAAGAGAACAGAAGCAGTGCCAAAGAAGAAAACGTGTGCTTGGAGTCTTCACAGCTGGTCCGTTGTGTATTCAGAGGTGCAGCTGGATCGTTTTCTGAGCTCTCTGGTGTATTTTCTGAACTCAGTGCTTATCTGTTGACAGAAGGTAAAAGTTCTGTACTTTGTCTAGTCGGTGATTGCTGAAGATGAATGGAAACTGTTGAAGGTTTTCTCAGAGGTGTGAATAAAATAGCTGATGTTTGGTCAAGGGTGTCTTACAGAACGGTGGACAGAACTTTCACACCATCAGAGGGAGAAAACACAGAACAATGGGATTTAACGGGCTGTAAGATTAATCATTGTGTCAAAGAAAAATCCATGCTGACCCAAGGCGTAACACGTCCTCCTCCAGCAGGATTCTGAGTGTACTGGGTTCAGCTGACGTAAACGCACAACCAGCATGTCATCTCCATTCACCACAACAAAATCAGCCGAGGTAAACACCGTTTTCACCTAATCTCAAGGCATTCAACTTAATAAGCCTCTGTTGTCATTGATGCTATGGATTGTAAAGGTAAAACTGTCTGTTTAAGAAAGAAAAATCTAGCCTGGCAAGCCATTCTATATGTGAATACATAGTGTGGCCACGACCCATACTGAGCTCAGACGTGGGGCGGGATCTACAGTGGTCTTCCAAACTGTCTCCACATGCTACTGGACAGCGACCAACGTGATGCCCTCACAGTCAACAGGGCAGTCTGCCATACACCGTTGAAGAATACACACACACATCTAATTTTCTAAATAAACTTAAATACCTCTACCTGCTCTTGACAAAGAAAAGTCCAAGTCTAAACAGTCCAAAGTTGATGCCAAAGCCGACACCATCTTTGTTGTTTTGCTCAGTCGCGTCATCCCGCCTACCAAACCAATAGAGCGCTGTGATTGGCCGTCCAATCTGATAGAGCGCTGTGATTGGTCCAGCAAACTGATAAAGTGTTGTGATTGGCCTACCAAACCTATAGAGAACTGCAATTGGCATAACACAAAAAAGCTCAGGCCAATGGTAGACTTGCTGAAGCTGAACCTCAGCATGGCAAGGCCGACCTGCAGAGCACAATCTTTTTGCTGCTACTGTCTGTCTAGATTTCTAGGCTGAGAAAAGTCCACAGAGGTCACTGAAATAACTTGAAGAAGTAAAAAGTAAACATTTTTGTTAAATTCATGAAAATTAAAGTGGCAGTGTGTAGTTTTCTGGTGACACACATTCATATCAGGGTAGTTTTACACCATATTACCATGACTATCACTAGTTTAAAAACATTACGGTAAATGTTGTTACCTGTGGAGCAGAAAGCATGCAACCTCGGCGTGACTCCTCAGACTTTGATGGTCCTTCAGTTCATTCCATTG